TGCTGCCATTGAACTTTGAAGACAAGTTTTACGCATGACCGAGTTGCCAGGGTCCATAGTTTGTAAAATAAAGTTGACCACCTGCATGTCTGTCCAAATGTTATTCAAAAGTTCGCCTATACATGTCCAACCATATCACACTTTTGAATAAAAAGTAACAAGACAATATTCAGAAAAAGAAAGTCAACACTGCAAAAGATTAAAACATGGAAATAAAGAGTAATGCAAGAAAAAGAGTATAAAACAGTAGAAACATTTGCAAACGAAGAAATCCCGTGCAGCAGACAGGAGGAGGATACCATCATAAAATTGTAGCACTAAAACAAAATACCAATAGAAACATCTGATATACTCGGTTTGACAAATCTTTAAAACCAATACATCCTGCAGTTTGCATTAAAACATTGTTGTCTTCATCACTTATTACAGTATCATTGCCACTTTTTGAAATTTATGTTGTCAAATAATAAATAATGCATCATGCAAGTAGAATCAGATCTACTAACCTTATCAAGGTATTGAGCTACGTTTCTTGGAGAACCACGCACAACTCTGATGAGAGTCATGAGAGATACCAGATGTACTGGTGAATCAGAAGCAGTAGACCAGATTTGGCTTTCTGCAACAGTTAGAAATCCATGAATATCAGCTATTGCTAGACTTGGAAGAAGAATACCAACCAAAGTCTCTCTAATAGATGCTGGTACAGCTGGATGTTCTCCAGCTGAGTTGGCAGATGGACCACTCATACACTCTATTTGGAAGAATATGTCAGCAATAAGACGAGGTATTTCAGAAGCAATGCATGCCTTCCATATCCTCTCCATGCCCTCTGCAAGGACTCTGCTGCAGTGGAACTGTATTTCTCATTCATGGCCATAACTAACTTCATTAATGGATGCACAACCAATGTGGCAAGTGTAGGTTTGACAAGGCTAGGATACCAAATTGCCAAGGCAGCTGCAACAATAATGTGTGATGCCATTGCATCTTGACTTGTCCTGCCAACACAAGAAACCCAGTCTTGCATTTCAAATGATTCCAGCCAAGCAACCAATTTAGTGTCCTCAACATGAGAAATGCCTTTTGTTTCCGGTAAACTGTCAGACTCCAATACATTTGTGGATGGTTTAATTGTGTTTAACACTTCAAGCTCATCTACGCCAACTTCAGACAGAGATCTCATAATTTTTGCATGTCCAGTTGCCTGCTCACTACGCAGCGGAACAGGTATAGCTCGTGAAGCAGCACAATGGAATAAAGAACGTGCAGCCATTCGTACATGCTCACTTTCATCTTGCCAGAAGCTCACTAAAAGCTGTAAAGAAGAGGATAATAATAGCAAAGCAAAGCATTAGCTTTAACATTTTTTTAGGAAAAAAAAAAGAATTATAAAAACACCACACCAAGAGGTTGCAACCCAATTACAGATAAAGTTTACAAGTTAAATAAAGTTTAAGAGGATGACCCCTAATAAAAAATAAAGATTCCAGAACCATAAGTCTAACTCTACTGAAGACAGACTTAGCGCCTCCAAAAGCCCTTTCATCCAACTCCTTCCAAATAATCCAAAATATGACCAAAGGGATAACAGATAAAAGTTTCTTCTCACACTTGTCATCCTGAATACCTCATCAAAACCCAAATTTCATCAGTCACTGATTATACCATCTGCCAACTCACTCCCAAGAAACCAAAAGCAGTGTCACTAGAGTCAAAAGGAGAAACAACACCATAACAAGATGTGGTTCAGGATTTCAACCACCCTGTTGTGCAAGTAACACCTATTCATTAGGATCTTCACTCCTTTTCTAAGGTTGTCAATAAACAAAAAATTCTCCCTTTATGCTTCCAAATCTGTTCCTTGGAGAAATTACTATGGTCAACAAAAGATTGACCAGGTATAAATGGAAAGATTTCACAAGAATAGATGCAGCCGAATCCAGCTTCCTAATTGGCTTATCAATATCCCATAAGGATCGTTGCAACAAGAAAAAGTGCTAGAGAAGACCAAGATATTAATCTACCTCCTAATTATTAAAGTTCTAACAAGATCTGTAGCCCACACCTTAGAGCCAAAGGAAAAAGAGGAGATCTCAACCATAGTGGGCTCCTTAACTCCAGCCAAGGAAAATATAGTAGGAAATGCTAATATAAAACCGCTCCTTTACTCCAATTGTCCATCCAAAACCTCACCATCCACCCTGAAAACAATCTTCCATGTGAGCCACCCATAAGACTCATCCAAACTACAGTTAATTTTCATCCAATGACCCACAACATCGAGGTCTAGACTGCTTGGACCTCTACCCCGCCGCCATGCTGACTTGGCTATGATCACCCTTCACCACAGGTTGCCATGTCATTCGTAAATTTCAAAAGCCATTTTCTCAAGAAAAGCTCTTTGAACTTCACAATTGATCTAATTGCAAGCCCAGACCTCTGAAAAGGAAGCTCCAGCGTGTTCACGCTGACAAATGAATCTCTTGTACTCTTTAGAATAACCCCACAGGAACAAACGTTAAGTTGTCTCCAATTTCTTAGCTACTAGCAGGGATTAAAAAAGACTAATAACAGATAGGCAAGTTGGAAACGGTACCTTTTTGTAAGTGATGTGAGCATGGATCACCTTGGGCCACTTGGAAGAGACATCATCATGCCAAGTGGGCCTATAACAAGGAGCTGGACTAAAAAATTACAACAAACTCTCCAACTCTTCATTTAAGCTTGGATTAATAAGGAAAATAGGTTTCGATTCACTAAATAAGTCCAAGGAAAGAAGCTACCCAACTAATTAACCCAATGGCATAATGATCTCATCAACTTACTTCAAGCACATGAAGAAATGAGCCATAAAAGGAAGTAATCGGCCAAAAAAAAGGAGGAAATTGTGGGCGGCTAACAAGGGAGCCTTTATAGCCGACCCTAAATTATCATAATCTTTCTCGTAAATCACTCATAATCTCTTTTAATAAAAAGGGAAGATTATATTACTCATAATTAAAAATTTTAATTAATTTTCTATGCAATTGCAATTTTAAATTAGAAAATTTTTATTACTTTCTTTATTCACATGACATGACTTACCATATAAATACGTCATCAAGTCTTCATTGTAAGCATTCAAGATTGAAAACAATAATATTGTGAGCCTTATTTAAGAGGGGTATCTTCATTCTTCTTGTTGAGTAAGGAGTTAATCTACTAATCAAGGTAATTTCTTATAACGTTTTTCCATTCTTTTTTTAATTCTCTTTTTCTCAGTAATTTTAGTTTCTATCATTCTTGATAGATGATTAAAAAGAGAAAGTTTTCATAAGATCAAATTCCTTTGGTGTTTTGAATAAAATTGTGTGAGTTTCTAATCAAGTTGGTTGATCTTGGATTCCGCATCAATTAGAGTTAGTTTGCTGCCTTTGAAGAGGGAACCCCTCTTCCACTCAACAAGTCTTTTCTTAAATGTAGACAACCAAAGTGTCCCACAAAGTGCAGGAGAACCTATCCTTCTATAAACTAGAAAACTCTAAAGTACAACTTTATAAGAAAATTACTCTCATAATAAAGGCAATAATGGGTTGCACCCATTGACACTTCAATTATTTATTTGCAAGACAAACATTCTATTAAGTCTATAAGTTCTTCCTCATTTATGAAAGCATCTTGTTTGTAGCAAAAGTTTGAAATATAAACAATAAAATACAATTCTGATCATATTGAACGACATAACATGCTTATGTTGAAATCCATTTGCCCATATAATCACCTTCTGTTTTGAGTTTCAACTGTCGTAATATCCTAAATATTCAAACATCCAAAATAAGTATAAAATTTAATATGTGTAAAAGTGCTTTCTGTTAATTGAAAGAAGAAACAAGGTACAAAAATCAGGATATAATTGATATTTATTAGTTTATTGAAACAAAGTGCTGTCTTTATGTTTAGCTTCTTGAACACCACAATAATATTACGCAATATCTGAGGGCTTCATATAAATAGTTGCATATTCAATAATAACCTGCATTCTACAAAATAAGCTTCCGCTTTCAGAAGCTTGAGTTTCAAAGCTCCTCATCATAATGGTTTCTTAGACCCATTTGTAAGAAAAAAGAAACCAGGTAAATATTTCTACAAACCAAGCAATCCAATATCAATGTTCTACCCCAGATCACGATGGAAATTGTATTTGACTAGCAACAACTTCACGAAAAGGAGGATGCTCCAGAAAGGTAGCTTTTTAGCTCTTCAGCAACATAGCAAAGAATTTTTGCAATTGACAAGTTGGACTTTTTAGTTCAGAGCAAAAAACAGGAAATGATCATTGACCACTTAAAGAAAGAAGCAGCA